ACATCTTTTATTGCCATTTTGCTCAAAACTTTTGGTATATACTAATATTACATTTCTGTCTACTTTTCTGACTCTAATAAATACATACAAGAGAGATAAATAAAAGAGAAAAAAATACCAGGTTTATAAATGAGAAGATGGGAGTTTTACTATATGCATTCCCCCAAATTGACAATTCCCACAAACTCAATTTCAACAAAAATTCTAAAAAAGTATTTTTGGTTGAAAAAAATTCAAGTGATGATAAAATCATGAGAGGGTTAGTATTTGAAGGATGACTCAGCCTGAATGACTAGAGGTAGATAAGAACTATCTGGGAACTTGAAAATGTTCTACATTTCATTTGGTATAAATGTTTACGTGGGTATTTGCACTCGTAAAAATTCTAAGAATTGTATATTTAAGAATTGTAAATGGAATGATTCATAATATGATTATTCTTTTAAAAAATGAGTAATACATTTCTTTCACTTGAAAGATTTACCAAGAGAAGTGGAGGGAAAAAGAGAGACAGAGATCTTGCGTCCACTGGTTTATTCCCCAAATGGCTGTAATGGCTGAGGCTGAGCCAGGCCAAACCCCAAAGCCAGGAGTTACTGCAGGGTCTCTCAATGGGACTTAGGGACTTGGGACATCTGCTGCTGCTGCCCCATCATGGCTTGGAAGTAGAAGGAACTGGCCTGGAAGTACAGCAGCTGGGAAGTGACTGTTGTCCATATTGGATACGGCCATCGCTGGCAGTAGACCTTAAGGCTCTTATTCTTTGCTTAGATGGTTAGTGTATTCCATTTGGTCAAGACAGGTTTGATGAAACAGAACTTCTGTATAAAAAATATATAAATAATCTACAACAATAACAAAAGCTCAAATTATTCACAAATAAGGAATCTTATAATCAGGAAGGAAATGTTACACAAAACTAATAAACATAAGTCCTCCCTCCAAATCTGAATCCAAAAGATAATATTTTCTATGCTGTAACTCAGATTTAGATGGCACGGATCTTCTCATAAAGTTTTTTTTTTTTTCATTTCACTGCTATTATACCAATTTTTTCAGTTTTGTTTATTTGACCATTCAGATTTCTTCTTCTTTGAATTGCCTCATTATACAATTTGTTCACCTTGATATTAGGTTTATAGATAATTCCTAATGGTAAGACAATTCTCTTGTATAAAATTTTTAATTCATTTCTACAAACAAGGTGGGAATATTGAATATCCATATATGCAGTTGGGCTCATTTTACAAAGTACACAACAATACTTAGAAATTGATTAAGAATTAAATGTTAAGGCCAAGAAGAAAAGGCAGGGGGAAAACTCATTGACACTGGTCCACACAATAACTTTTTGGATAGAATACAAAAACCACAAGAGCAAAGGACAAATAAGTAAATGGGAATACATCAAACTAGAAAGATTTTGCAGAGCAAATGAAAAAATAAACAACATTAAAATGGAATCTACAAATTGGGCAAAAAGATTTCCAAGCTACATATTTAATACAGAATATTAATAAAATTATTTGGAAATTAAAACATCTTAATATCAAAAAAATCTCAATAAAAAGGGTCAAACTATCTGACGGCGACTTCTCCAAATAAGATATAAAATTGCCACAAATATCTAAAATGTGCTCAACACTTCTAAGGATCAGAGACATGCTTATGAAGTAACAAAAACTATAGCCTCACACCTGCGCGAATGGGTATGGTCAAAAAGAGATGCCAAGTATTGAAAGATGTGGGAGGAGGAGACCAAACTTGTGTAGTGATTATGGACAATGACATGGAGGTTCTTCACAAAATTAAACATAAGACTACTACATTTGCTCTGCTACAACAATACCCAAAGGAAGTCAGCATTGTGTAGAGAATATCTCCGCTCCCATGTTCAGTTCAATATTACTGACAACAGGTAAGGTGTGGAAACTAATTTTTCATTAACCAATGACAACATAAACAGATGATTGCTATACATAATTGTCATATATAATAGAAGTATATAATAAATATATATCAAATACACAAAATATGAGCAAGTTACGCGGTCTTTAAAAGGGATGCCCTAAAAGGTACCCTATAGAACTGTATCATGAAAAATAAAAATTTGTTAAAAAGGATACTTTAAGCAACATATTTTAGAGAACATCTTTCCAAGTGTTTATATGCCTAAACACAGAAAGTAAAATGTTGAATAATATTTTGTATTTGCAGTTTTTTTTAAAAAATATAATACACACACAGATCAGTCGTCGCATGATCTCATACCAGCTTCTCCGAGGAAAGCAATGGCACTTCATGGTCACAAGAATCAGCTCTGCCTGCTTGAGGCAGGCCTCGGGGCCCAAGAAGAGCTGTCGGGATTAGTGGCACATAGATTTCCATAGTTATGGAAGAGGACGCAGCCTCTCTTTCCTCCCTGCTGCCCTGATCCAAGACACACTAAAGAAGGTTCCTGAGATTGAGATGCCAAGTCCCCCTGGAGTCCTCAGGGAGCACTTGCCCAGTCTCTTCATAGGCAGGAAAAGGAGGAGCAAAAGGCAGCGGGCAGACTTCAAAAGGTGAGGAAGATTTTCATCACAAACTCCAAGCTGGGAACAGGGCAGATTTACTGCAGGTCCTGGTATTCAAATGTCAAATGAAATAACTGACCACAGAGGCACCAATGCTGAGTTATCACACCACCAAAAATTACCAAGACCATTTTCTTGTGGTTTTCAGAATGTTAGTGAGTATGCACCTGATGTTTGGCATCGACTTGAAAGAAGTACACCCATACTCCCAGTCCCGTGTCCTCTACTGCCCTGGGCTTCACGTATGACGGACTGCTGGGTGATGATCAGAACGTGCTCAAGGTGACCTCTTCCTGATCAACCTGGGCCTGATCTTCATGGAAGACAACTGCGTCCCTGAGGGTGAGTTGTGGGAAATGATGAGCATGATGAGGTGTGTGGTGGAGGAGAGCACTATGTATTTGAGGACCCAAAGAAACACATCACTCACAATTGCAGAAAATGTGCCCAAATACCAGCAGGTACCCCACAGAGATCCTGCCTGCTCAAGTTCCTGTGGATTCCAAGAGCCCATAATAAATCCAACCAAGTGAGAGTCCTGGAGCTTTCCTGCAAGAGCCATGGCATTGATCCCAGATCCTTCCCAACCCTGAATGAAGACACACTGAGAAATGCCAAAGAAGAGAATGACCAAAATAGAGACACTGTTAGAGCTTGAAGAGGGGTGCAGGACGCGATCCAGCAGCTTTTCCTTCTCTCCTGTGAACAGAGGTCTATTCTGCATTCCTTACGTGAAGACAGCAGTCGATAATCTGGTTCATGGAGGACCAGGGTAGGTTGCGAAGAACATGATCTGTACCATTTATATGAACCTGTTGTATTTGAGTGACTTGAAAATTGATCCAGCTATCCTTTGAGATGTTTTGAATAACTATCCTTCTGACTGGTTTTGTTAGCTTTATTATCTTTTTAACTAGTTTTGATCGCACATGTCATTTTGCATTTCCACTTCAGGGGTCAGGGTGCTGCTTTTTAAAAACTGATTGGAAATTCTTCCTTTAATATAATATTCCAAGTTATGCCAAGAAACCATGGAACTGCAAGAGGAATTTCTTTGGAAATGGGTAAGAACTTTTCATTAAAACAGGGCCAAGAAGCAGAGAAAAAAAAAAATAAATAAAATACACACAAAACAGAGTATCTTTGAGTAGTTACCAGCAACAAGAAAGAGGAATAGGGACGTGAAGGTCAAATGCTACACAGTATCAGATATGTAGGATGAATAAACATAAAAATATAATGTACAACATGAAGAACATTGTTAATAGTTATTGCATGTGGGGATTTTGCTAAAAGATTAGTATAAGCTCTTGTCATACAGAAAAAAATCACAATGTGAAATAATATATGTTTTAATTAGTTTGTTGTAATCATTTTACATCATATTATATACTTACATATTGTTGCAAAAATATTAGAAAATCTATTTGATTTTATATATTCCAATGTTTTCACTTTCTGTAACTTTGACTTTATGCAGTATGTTTTTGTTATATTTATAAAATAGATACATTATCTTTAGATAGCAGCCATTTCTATGTATTTTCTGAGTGCTAAATTGACATCTTTTTTTTCAGTTACTTAATCAGTATAATTTAATTTGATATTTTTTTCATTTCAAAAGGAATGGAAAGGAAATGCACAAAATGAGAGGGGAGGTGAACGGGAAGGGGAGGTTACCATTTTGTTTCTGATTTCTAGTTTACTACATTTCATTAAAGAATGTGATTGTAAGATTTTTCTCATGATATGAGCAACTTTTAGGTTTGCTTGGGGATTTTTTTTAAATATTGAAAAAGAAAACCTTACATGTGGAGTATAATCTAAAACAGGGAGTCTCCCTCTGGTCTTCAACACTGAGTAGATTTTTCTCTCGTGTGCTATTTTATCAAAGTAGTGTCTCCTTAACCATAATCGATAGTCTCAATTCCACCTCTAAGAGTTTGTCTTCAGTCTCCTACAAACTTTCCCTTATGACTTCAAGAAAGATTTTTAATTTTTGGTTGAATTTTTATCTCCATTTCATTTTATTTTGCATTTTATTATTTGCATTTTAACAGAGAATTTTAAAGTTATTATCAGCTTATTGTCGTTAATAGTCTATAAATTAAATGTCTTTATATGGGTAGAAGAAATTATTTTAATAGGCAAAAATATTTTTTATATAGAAGCATCTAGCCACAAAAATAGAATTGCTATTTTATGTTATTAACTTGAAATATTACAAGTTCACCGAGTCTATCTTGGCTGGCAAACAGGGATACATTTGCTTTTTGCTCCTAAAAACTCTACAAAGTTCTTTTTTATTCATAGATTCCTGTGCATCACATACATTTTAGAAAATTTAGTTTCTTAACATCATGTACAATTGCTCATTCTAGATTTTAATTTATAAGAGTACATGAAAAAGAGTTTACTACTTACCAATTTGCTTTCGATACTGATCAACAGGAAGCTTTACAGCGGAAGCATCTTTTTTACCCATCTTTGATCTCCAAAATGCCTGCCGAAAAGAAAGAAAATAACTGTAATGACATTCTCCTAAAGAATACAGAAGGATTTCCAGAAATGTCCGCAATAATTTACTCATTCAAATTAATTTTTGAAGCAATGTGTGGAACTGCTTTTGACATATTCTGATTAGATAGCTATAAAGAACACAACATTATTTCAAATAAATTGAAGAAGTCATGCTTAATAGTAGTTAAATTTCTCAATCATTTGTTCTGAGTAACACAAATGCTATCAAATTCTATCAATGCCCAATTAAACCACACTGCTGAAGAAGATTATCTGTAAAAGCAAGTATCATGTACTATTTGTTCGGATGAGTTGAAGCCAAAGACAAGTTCACAACAGCTTGCTTCTTTCCTAGTACCTATTATGCCACAACAAAAATAAAGTTGAAATTTTAAATTCATATAGTTTGAATTTTGTTTGAAATATTCTGGCATACCTTTTTTAAGATGCTTTGTACCTATCAAATCCTATTACTTTAACTGTATTTAAATATGGCAACAGAGATACAACTTGCTCACAAAATCCATATTCTCTTTTTCTTCCAAGTACTTTTGACCTGTAGCTCCTACTATCAATTCAAATATGTGACTCTTAACAACTGAACATGAACGGAAGTAACATCTGTCACTTTCACACCCAAACTTACAAAGATTCACACACATGATCCTTTATTTTTTGTTTTTTGTTTTAAACAATTGCTCTGTTTTTATTATTCTCCATGACAGTTTTATAGATATAGGCATTCTCCCCCTTCTCTTGTCTTTCTCCCTCCCAATTTCCCCCTCACATAATTTCCCCCCGTATCATGATAGAGGCATAAATCTTTAGTAAGAGTTACAAATTTAACACTCTGCTGCTGAAGTGCAAGGTAACATTATAGGTATACACAAAGAAATGGTTCCAAATGGAGAGTATTTTGCTAAGTGAAATAAGCAAATCCCAAAGGTCAAATACGGTAGGTTCTTTCTGATATAAGGCAACTTTTATGCAAAACAAAAATAGATAGGTGAACAAATACATACATACAACCTCATATCTGGAAGTAAAGATCCATTGCAGTGGCCATCTCTACTGCTGACTAAAATGAGGACTCCCAGTGAAACAGTTCAATGTACCGTGACAAACTGATACTAGAATTTCTACCTTTGTCTGATCCTGCATTTTATTTCCCTTTCCAGTTTTCTGGAATGCAAATGATCACAAACTGTTGCAGGAACGGGATCATTGGTGAGCCTATGGTCAGAGGATAGAATCTTCACTAATGTTTTCACCATTCCTAACTATGAGAGAGAAATAAAATGCTGTAGATCTTGAGTTGTCACACATTTATAGGGTCAATTTATTACAGATGTAAGTGTTTGCCAAAGTAATTACATATATTATTTCCTGGAATCTGATCCTCACTACTTTTAACAATTTACGATAAAAAGACGAAGACGAGCAAAATCAGATCAATCAAATTATAAGGGAATATAAAGGACAATAATGTGGTTACTAATGAGGCTGGAAATGCAAATTTTGTCTAAAACCCAATAGTAGGAAATAAAACTGAAAAAAAAAATCCCTTAAAATTTGTCAGCTAAGGGAGAAGCAGAAAGGGAAAGAGCAAGCTCACTGCCTGATGAGCCTGCCTCCAATCCCTTCAACACAGAAGTTATTTGTTAGAACAAGACTGCTGAAACCCATTGAAGCAAACACTAGAAGTATGTGTAGGAAAAAAGAAAAACCAGCAGTGTGATAACCGGCATGCACACTTCATGAATAATTGCAAGAAGGTTAGTAAAATGTGAGGGAGCCATGTTGATTAAGACTAGTCTGTAAAGGAAAACCATCTCTTGGTTCCCTTTAAAAAAGCAGCCTCCACAGAGTTTGTAACATCAGCTCCACGTGTAACCAGGAAGGAGGAACCATCTAGAGAGCACTGTGAGTAAATAAGGGAATTCCTCTTACTGAAAAACCATAGCTAAAGTCTAAGCAAGAAAAGCGTATGGGTGAGGCTGGGAAAGAGCAGGTAAATTTCAGTCTGTAATACTCAAGGAACCACATCCCACTCGGAGAAAGAATACTTGACAATGGCCGAGATTCTTGGTGCCGAGTTTGGCACGAAAAAATGGAAACCTGCATATATAATCCTTTTATCTCTGGACACAAAATTCCTTTGATGGTAGTTGTGGGCACATCACTGGTTTCAGCCCATCTACTGTTAGCAAGTTAGTGTTTTGTACTTTAAGATTTGAACTACTCAAACTTTCCATGTGTATTTATTACTCATATCGATGAAATGGAGATGATCTCCAGGATGACTTCAGAAATTATGTAATAGAGATGGCAGATTCTATGGAAGCTTGGGTTTAAAAAGACTCGATGAAGGAGAGCTACACAACCAACCAAGTTTCATTCTTGCATGCAACTGTAAAGAATGAAACAAACTTGCAGCATTTTTATATCTATTTAAATGGCTGGCGGAGCTTAACTAAAACATATATGCGTAGAATTCTTCTTAACTTAAGGCACTTATCAAATTGTAACTGTCCAAATGTGTACTAAGGCTTTCAAAGACTAAATGCACTTGAAATTTGTCAGATCACATTGATTTATATATCCTTGAAGAAGACATACATACTTGAAGAAGCAGTACTGCACTTAGGCAACACTAGAAAGGTCATTTTAACTTAAAAAATGTCCGTGTATATATAAGAAAATCTTAAGTGCATATGAATATATTTGAATAATTATATTTATAGTACTAAGATTTCAAAGAATGTAAAAAGATAAAGTCATATAAATTAATTCCTAATATCTAATAAACCATCATTTTGTATTTAACCTCACCTTTTCCTGCCATCACATTTGTTATTATTACTAACACTAAAATAATTCTGTCAAGACAAGAACCATAAAAATGTCAACCAATATATTATAATTTATTCATATAGCAATTTAATTTGCATAGGGTGTGCATTTATTAATTGTAAAGAGGATTCAAGATATTTTCACCTTAATTGTGTGGCATTAAGAGAGATATTGCTCTATTCTAGACAGGAAGTTAGTGTAAATGAACAAACATAAGATAATAAACCCTTTTAAACTGAGTTACGTTCTTTGCTTTTATGGAGTTTTTCTAAATTTATAAAAATAGAAAGTTACTAGGATTATCTGCAAAAATGGTTACTTACTGTTTCCTAAAATCCTTATCAGATAATTTTATACAGGCCAATGTTTTACTAATTAACATTACCGGTAGTAAACTAAAAAGGTAATAGGTCTATGAGAACTATCCTCTCACCAGACTGAAATACATTGTTGTAAATGAATTTCTCACAACAGAATTATAACAACATAACCTTAAAAAGAGTCTGTACTCTATGACTAGCTATGTTGGATTCATTAATAAAATCTGAATAAAAAGTACAAGAATTTCAGGCCTAGCGTCGTGGCCTAGAGGCTAAGGTCCTCACCTTGAATTTGCCAGGATCCCAAATGGGTGCCAGTTCTAGCCTCGGCGGCCCCACTTGCCATCCAACTCTCTGCTTGTGCCTGGGAAAGCAGTCGAGGATGGCCCAAAGCCTTGGGTCTCTGCACCCACACGGGAGACCCAGAAGAAGCTCCAGGATTTTGGCTTCAGATGCTCAGCTCCAGCCGTTGCAGCCACTTGGGGCGTAAACCAGTGAACAGAAGATCTTCCTCTCTGTCTCTTCTCCTCTATATGACTTTGCAATAAAATAAATGAATCTTTAAAAAAAAGTACAAGAATTTCAATTGCTGAGTTTTGTTACACAGGTTCTGGTTTGAAGGTTTTTTTTTTTTAATAATTATTTTAGTAATTGGTAACAATCAAAATCTTAACTTCTATTTTTTTCTGCTTTGAAATGATTACGTTTTATTCCTTGAGCAAAAACAAATTACTAAGCGATCAAGGGAAAACACCTACAGAACACACCCTTCTCACAAGTAACTCACATTTGACTAGATGAAACAAACACTAAAGGGAATATATTTTATTTTGCGAATAGGCACACTAGGGCTATTTTCCATGATTTACAGAGAAACTCATTTATGTGAATGGTGAAAACTGTCAATGCCTGAGACATCTAGAACCTCTAAAATGTTTTGACTTCTCTTTGTTCTTCAAAGCCTTGCAGTAATCGTCATTCATTTCTGCTGCTTTGATGGCAAAATAGCAAACTCCCAGGAAATCCACGGAGACATTCGCACATACAGCCGCAATTTCTAATAAGACAGCTATTTGCATACAAGATCAGCCACAATTTAAAATGTGTTGTGATAGATGTGGAAAGGGAATAACAGATTTATATTAGCATGTACAATAACAAGATTGTTTTCACAATTTAATTCCTTAGAGATTATGTCTCATCACCTTCTTTCTTAAAGAACACTGCATTCCCTGAGGAACTAACTTGCTTGGAGACCTAGCTAACTAAAATATGGATTAATAAGATAGTATTTATTATTTATGAATTTAGCTGTAGGAATGATTTTAGATTGAACCATCAGAGAAGTTCTTAGCATTCTTTAAACTTGATAACACATGTTTAAAGAAGAAAAATGCTAATTTTATTTAATATCTAAATTGCATATTAAAAGAATTCATAGCTAATTTTTCAGTTAATTAAAACTTTACACTCTTTAGGATTCCTTAAGACTTTTAAGATTAAAGAGCACTTCTGTTTTTAAGGATGATTTTCTAACCTGAATTTTACAGAGCAATTTGCTACATGTGTTTTAAAGCATAATATGTGACCTTTAAAAACAAACAAAGGTAGCATTATATTCAATCACATCCCAACCAACCAAGTTATTTTATTGCTCACTTATACCATTTTTATGAACTCCAGAATGAATAAGTAAAGAAATAAGAAACCCAAAGCCTCCACATATGTCTTTGCTTCCAGAAAAAGCATTAAGTCCAGACTGTGACATTTAAATAGATATCAAAACACAGGTTATTAAAAAATTCAAC